TGACCATCTGGGAAACCCACAAGAGCAGTTCTAGCCTGTCCTGTAGGGTCACTAGGACTTAGAATCAACTCTATGGCAGTGAATTTTTGTGTGTGTTTTGAGAGCAGCACTGAGATTACAGGACCAGGAGGTAGACACCAGGATGGCTTCCTGGCACATGGAGGCAAAGAACAAAGGAGCACACGGATGAGAGGCTGAGGACTGGAGAGATATTTGGCTGCTGACTGAGGAGAGGTGCTGCTGCGGATCTTAGTGGTTGCGTATCCTAACGTGATAACTTGTTATCTTCCCTGGTAAATGCCCTTCATTGTGAGCATTGTCTGTGAGTTCTGTGAAGCCACTGAAATAAATGATTGAGTCCAGCATAAAAGGAAAGTGGCATCGGAGGAAGGGTATCGGAATAGGGGCAAGAAGAATGCAGCATGAAGGTGTGTCTCATCCCTGACTCATGGCAATAGAGAAACAGATAGACTGACACAGTGGCTGTGACAATGGGCTCATAATAACAATTTTATTCATAATGAATTCATGAATCAATGGTCCTCAAGCAACAATAGAAACACAACAATCAGAAATATGATACCGCCACTTTATTCCTTACTTGTGCAAACTTGACCAAGAGATCAATGAGCTCCCTGGTACCCCTCTGAGCAATCTTGTTCCATTCCAATCTGAGACCCTTCACAAATAACCTTTATTCCCCATATAGAATTTACCAGGTAGGCTTGAATAAAGAAAAGTAAAGACACTGTGAAGAATATTTAACACAGGAAATTTATAAAATAGTTTTGCAAGGAACAAAGAGCACAACAGAATAATGAGGGAATCTAAAGATAGTAACTGCAGAAAGAAGTTATCCTACTAAGGTTTAAGGACATAGATATAAGGAAATATTAAGCTTATTAGGATGTAAGTACTTTATTGATCCTTATTAGGAGAATCTAACAATAAAGTTGTATGGGAAATCAGAACAGTGGCTTAAAAATCTCCCCTCTCCAGTCCAAGTATCACAAAATTAAGAAGGATAATTTTGGAGAAAGGAGACAAGAGTTTACCAACAAGGATGTTTGCCCAACTTTAAGATAGGCAGAGCAAAGACAATGTTGCTTCATTGGTAGAATTCTCCCCTACCATATGGAAAACCAGATTAAATTTCCAGCCAACGAGCCTTATGCACAGCCACCACCTATGAGAGGATACTTGGGTGTTGCTAAAATGTTGGACAGGTATCAATAGATACTTCAGACTCAGATGGACCAGTCAAAACAAACCTGCTAATTTACTTCCAAATATGATTTCATGAAAGTCATAGGTATCTGATCCACTATCAATGATGGAGATGATATACGACTGGACAGCATTTTATTCTGCTGTTCATGAGACCACCTTTGTGAGCTCTGATCACTTGGAGACCTCAGTATCGAGTTAGGAGGACTAAAGTAGTCACAGGGTAGTCGTTTTTTAAACAAGTAACTAAAAGATGAACTGTTCTCATTCTCACCACAACTGTGGTGTTTTTAAATCTTCTCAAGCCACGTGCTATTTCTCTTAAGTCACAATACATAGTTGTGGGACCAGTGATCTCTCTCTCTCTCTCTCTCTCTCTCTATATATATATATATATATATATAGTGCTCCCAGTGCTCCCATAGCGGCCAAGTAGGGTTGGATAGGGCAGGGCAGGATTGGGTATTGGGCAGGACCGGACTGGGAACACTGAGCCTCACAGTTTGCTTGCTGCCCTTCCAGCCCACCTTCTCTGCAAAGATATGCAGACAGGGCCAAGGAGTGAAGATGTTGCCAAAGAGTAACACTGTCACCACACCTGTTCAACACTGGACTTTCCAGCCAGCAGCACCAGGTTTGTGGCTGCAAGGCAACACTGTTCACAACTGTCCGATTTAAGGGCGATGTCTGCTGGATGGCACACAAACCCCCCCAGGCCTGTGTGGTCCCTTGCCCCATGAGAGTTGGACCAGTGGCATGCCCTCTCACACATAAGTTGCCTGTATAGTTCTATTATATTCAAAATTAGGCTGGGAAATAGAAATAAGTTATGCTAGAGAATGAAGATTCTGAGTACATAAGATAGAGTTGTACATCTTACCAGGAAGCTCATCATCCCTGTAGCTAGAGAACCCCACATAGCTAGTTGGTCCTAAAACTTGGCATACCACATAATATTCCCACTATTTTATTAAAGCTGTGATAGAGAAGGAAATGTTTGGATATGGAAAACTTGAGATTGAAACCTATGAGAGCTACAACAATTATATAACCAAAGGAGCATGCCCTTAGATTTTGCCATTTTGTCCAACTCATGCATTAAAGAAATAGGCAAAACTGCTGATATTAGGCTGTTCTGTTGAGGAGTCTCTCCAGGGCTCTCTTGATATCTCTATTTCTCAAACTGTAGATGAAGGGGTTCAGCATAGGGGTGACCACAGTGTACAGCACTGAGGCCACTGCTTCCTTTCTGGCAGAAGATGAGACAACCGAACTGAGGTACACTCCCATACCTGTTCCATAAAATAAGAAAACAACTGACAGGTGAGAGCCACAGGTGGAAAAGACTTTGTACTTCCCTTCTGAAGATGAGATTCTCAGAATGGAGAAAACAATTTGAGTGTAAGAAAAAATAATTCCTGTGGCTGGAACTCCCGCAACAATGGCAGCTATGCAATATGCTAATATGGTATTGATGAAGGTGTCAGAACAGGCAAGGTTAAAGAGTTGAGGGGGGTCACAGAAGAAGTGGGGGACTTCCACATCTGTGCAGAAGGTAAGTTGTGACACCATTAAAAGATGCAGCTGGCTGTCAAAAAGGCTAATAAGAAATGATGCCAATGCTAGTAAAGCACAGAGGCGGGGGTTCATGATGACTGTGTAGTGCAGGGGGTGACAGATGGCCACAAACCTGTCATAAGCCATGACAGTGAGGAACAGGCTGTCCAGACATCCAAAGAGATAAAAAAAGGATACTTGTGTTAGGCAGCCCACATAGGAGATGGATTTGTTCTGTGTCTGGATGTTCACCAGCATTTTGGGGATTGTAGTTGAGATGAAACCCAGGTCAGTCAAGGATAAGTTGGAGAGGAAGAAGTACATGGGTGTATGAAGATGGGGGTCAGAGCTGACCAGCAAGATGATGAGCAGGTTCCCGGTCACCGTGATCAAGTACATGAACAGAAACAGCACAAACAGGAGCAGCTGCAGTTCTGGATCCTCAGAAAGGCCCAAGAGGAAGAATTGTGGGCTGCCTGTTAGATTCTGTGGCTCCATGTACTTGAGACAACTTTTGGAAACAAAAGAGAATCGAAACAAGTGGACAGGAACTCAGCACTGTGGCTGTATTTTGAACACAAAAAATGTACAGATAAAGCATGCACATTCACAAGGGTTCACACTTGAAGACCTAATACCCTATTATCCTCAGCTGTAGCTTCTTACTCAGCCAGAGCCTCTAAGGACAATTTCTTTATCGTTTCTTGTGCTATTCATAAGTACACACTCACTTTAGGGAAACTGGGCTCTGTTGGAATGGCAAAGACATTTAAGGTAATATATCCATGAAATCAAACCAACTGTCACTGGGTTGATTCTGACTCGTGGTGATCCTAAAGGACAGAGTAGGTAAAGTTAACCCTCGGGTTTCAGATGCTGTAAATGGTGAGATGCAGCAAGGGAGGATCAGTGAAAGCCCAAACATCCTGAGAATAATAGAATGTGTATTTGACAGACACATAAAAGGGTGTTGGGCAGCCTTCACCTCCGAACAGACACCAGGGCAGCTTTCAGAGAATGGCCTCTCTCAAGTGTGTATTGTTTGGGATGTTTGTTTTCTGGGCTTAAATAGAAGCATAAAATCAAAACCAAACCTACTGTTGTTGAATCAGTTTTAACTCATGTGACTCTATAGAATAGAGCAGAAGTCTCCATAGGGTCTTCAAGGCTGTAATCTTTATAGGAGTAGATTGCCTCATCTTTTTCCCTGTGCCGTGGCTGATGGGTTCAAACTGCTGACCTTTGAAGTATCAGGTGAGTGTTTAGCTTCTACTCTATCAGGGCATGCATCAGCATAAATGTCTGTGGGAAGCTGGGCATCACAGAGCAAGAAGATTTTACCAAAGGACTTGGTGGAATATAGCAGGTCCTCAATGAAGACATCAATTCCTTGCCTCATGGGGCATCTTCTTTGCATCAACTAAGCAGAATTACATAAAATCAGGACAGGGGAGCTGAAAGCAGCTGGTACAGTATGGGGCACAAACTGAATCCTGTGACCCTTTTCTTCTAGAGGGCAGAATGTTCCTGGAGCCTTGGTCTCTGGAAAGAACCTTTTACTGTGTTTTATTCCTGGTGTCCAGCCATCCCCCTCACTGAGAGACAAGGCTGACTGCACATTTTCTCCTCTGGAAAAGAACTCCCCACTACCTCCCAGTGCTTCAGATTATGAGCATTTTGTTTCAATTTAGAATTCATCTAATTAGGTCACTGGATGCAACAAATTATTTTAGTTCTACTAACATAAAGATTGGTGGTTCAAGCCCACTATTTGGCACCATGAAAGTAAGGTCTGGTGAATTGTTTTTGTGAGGATTCAGGCCAAGAAAACAGCACACAACTATTCTATTCTGTAGCACATCCGGTTGCCATGCATCAGATGCAACTCAACAGCAACTTAAAAAGAATTGTAGTCCTATCCCTGATTGGCTGTTTTGTAAATATTCTATATCAACAGAACTTATTGCATTGTACTTAGGGGAAATATATATATAATATAATATCATAAAATATATATTATATGTTCATATATTCATATAATATCTATAATAATATGTATAATATTTGTGTTTATATATAAATATATATAGTCATATATATGTGTATAACTTCTCATTTTGGAAAATGAAGAATAGGAAGGAGGAGGAGGAGGAGGAGGAGGAGAAGGAGAAAATTAGTTACCTTGAGACGATTTGGACTCATGGTGATGCCATTTGTTTCAGAGGAAAACCCTATGGATTTTTCAGTGACTGACTTTCAATAAGTAGATCACCAACCAGGTCATTCTTCCCAGATATTTCTGGGTAGACTCTAAACTTTTGTTTAACAGACAAATCTATCACTGTGTGAAAGTTCATTTTATTTGTTAATTTATTATTATGATCATCATAATAAAATTTTTGCTCCACACTCCATATTACACAATTGAGAATTTCTGTATTTGATGTGCATGGAGCATAGTTATTGAGATGTATAATTGATGTATGCCAAAACTTGCTATTAATTGCCAATAGTTGTTCAACAATAGGAAGTCAGACACAACTATGCCCTCTTAGGGTCACGTTATGGAATCACAAATGACTAAAAATTACCTGATAATGGTGGTTCCATGATAAACACAAACTAAAGTACTGTCCTACAGGTGGGATAATATTCCAATAGCTCAAGTTTCCTGTGTATGTAGTGAAATGCATTACTAGTCATAGAAAACACTTCCATCCACAAAATTCATCCAGTAAGATTTCCTGTAAAAATTTTGGCTCGTTTTTCTTAAATTCCAGATCAACTCACCAAGTTGAAAGAAGAAGAATCAATGGTTCAATGTCCATTTACTTATCTGACAAGAAGCACAATCATTCAGTTTTGGTTGTGGAGACAGCATCCTGAAACAAGAATTGGGAGAACAAGGTCCAAATCTTATATCTTTCACATATTAATTTAGGGAAGCATGTAAATTTCTCAAGCTCTTACCATTAAATAGGGAAAATAATTCTCATTGGGAGGGTGACTTGGCAGCTAGCAAAACTTTGGCATTTAATATACTTGGACATTGCTTTTAAGAAGAATTTGAGTCAATTTAAGCATAGTGGTACTGTTGTTGAAATACAATCTCAGTTTTACTTGACTCTATAGAAAAGAAAGAATCCTATAAGTCCTAGGGAACTTGAGCACAGAATGTTCCTAAAAGTGTGCCTAGGTTCACACAATAATGTTCATTTCCCCTTCTTCTTTTGTTTTTCCTTTTAGGGTTTCATTTTTATGAAAATACTCATAAATGTTAAAACTCTGAGTGTTGTACCCTTTATAAGTCCCAAAGACTTAGTCCTTGGTATAGACATATTTGTGCCCTATTTAATCTTGTCTCTGGTGTTATGCAATTGAGTCGATGCTGACCCTTCAGGAAAGAGTAGAACTGCCCTTGTGAGTTTCTGAGACTGTAACACTTTAAGAGAGTAGAAAGCCCCATTAGTCTTCCAAGGAATGACTGGTGATTTCGAACTGCTGGACTCCTGGTTAGCAGCCCAATATGTAATCACTGCTCAACAAAGATGGGACACCCTTGGAGGGATGAAACACAAGCAAGAAAACACTGTGTGGAAGCCAAACACCCTATGCTCTGAACCTGTGAATCAAAAACAAATTAGAAAACAAACAATTAAGCAAATCCATTGTTTTTGAGTTGAGTCTGACTCATAAAGGTCTTGTAGGACATATTCCGTTTGACCCCTGGAGTTTCCGAGGCTGTGAATTTTTAATGGAGCATACAGCATCATCGTTCTCCCTCAGGGTCCATGGGTTAGAACCTCTGACCTTTTGTTTATCGGTCCAATTTATAACCCACTGTACAACTCGAGCACTCATGTGAACCAAGAAAGGGGCTTTTCATATTCAATGTAGATTTACTATTGTCATTATGTGTACCAATCATGGAATAGGCTCTTTGGACAGAAATGATTAAAACTCAGTTGTTTCATTCTGAACATTCATTATCTATGAAAGAATGAAAGAATGAAATTAAAATGCTTTTACAGGAATCCACAAAAATAAACTTTTCAGATTATGGGTACTTTAATGGAATGAGCTGAAGGTTCATCTAATTATACTGATAATAATATGAAAAATTAATATGCCCTGATAATAGGCCGTTATTATATATGAAAATAATATTAACAACGATTGTACCTTGGCTTCTGGTTGATATTTGTTCATGTTTATTCCAAACAAAAATTGTAAATATTTCTCTGCTCTCATGGATGATTGTAGACAGATTCTGTCAGGGAAGCTTCAACAAGTTCTTGCAGAAATGGAATTAAATCATAATGGAAATATTTCATGAACTTTTGAAGTCTCCCTTATACCTTTGTCATAGCTTGTTAGGGTGCCTTCAGACATAAATATCCATTCAAAACAATGGCCTCCAAGGGGATCTGTGTGCTAATAAATGGAACGTAGACAGTTTAGCCTAAAAGATCATAATTATTTGCTTCATAATTTCCCAAAGAGTAATTTGGATAGATTTTTTTGATGGACACAGAACAGCCATTGGGGGTCTTATTAGGAAAAGTTTTTAAGAAATTAGAAAATGGCACTAATGAGAAAAAGGCCAGGAAAATTGTGCCAATGATTTTTTTTCCATTATGACAATATATCTGTTCACTTTTTTAAGATAGCAAAGGCTATCTCATGAGAATTTCAATGGAAAATATTACTTTACCCACCTAAAGCCCTGATTTTACCTCTTCAGTTTTTTTGGTTCCCCAAAGTCAAAGAACATTTCAAAGAAACACAAATAGAAGCTCTTGAGTAGGCAAAAACTGCGGTTTGGATGCAGTAGTGTGGAAGAGCACGGGATTCTCAAGGAAGACTTAGAGAAATGGAAACACCACCTTCCGAGGTGTGTACACCTAGGCGAAAGATATTTCAAGAAATAACAGTTTAACCTGTGGATATTTTTATTTAATAAAGCTTTCTCTTGTTTTGTGGCAATACTCTCACTTATCCTCAAACACATCACATGCACATTCATCTGTTCTATCCTTACAGATATGAAGATATTCCAAGCACTCTCTCTCAGCTGTGGGTAAACTCAGGTGATAACATAGAGGTTGAGCGATATAAAGAACTTGCCCTGTGGCACAAAGATCAAACATATAGAGGGATTCATAATTAAATTCTAAGTTTCTGAAGAACAACCATTTTCACTCTGTGGTCTCATATTACAAAATCTCTACAACAGAAGTCCAGGGAACTTAATCAAAGATCCATCTAATTTACACCTTTAAATTGACTCCAATTTGCTAACCATTCATCGGACGTAACATCCTGGCTGTTAGCCTCTATGTAATCCAGATGGGCAAAATTATAAGAATGAAGGAACCAGTGGCAACTGAAACAAAATCTCAGGGGCAGGTGCAAAAGAAAGATCTCATCTGAATTCCTGCCCCTGATTCTCAACGGTGTTTGATCTCAGCCATCTCTCTTATAATCAATGGAGCAAAAACACCCACTACTCTCCA